GGGGGAGGAGGCGGGCGGGGGGGAGGGCGCGAGCGAGGGAGCGAGCGCGGGAGGCGGGGGAGGCTGGGGAGGGGATGGAGAGCCGGGAGAGCCGGTCCCCGAATGAGATGCTGCTAGTTCAGGGCAGGTTTTGGCCCCGTTGTCTGGAGAGCCCGGATTCTTTGTTTCCCGGAGCTGCTTATCTGGGGAAGGGAAAAAAAGGGAGGTGGGGACGGAGGGGGGTGGTGGAGATGAGAAAAAGGGAAGGAAGGACGTCGAGAGAAAGAGGAAGGGAGCTGAGGCTTCCAGGGAATCAGGTCAGCCCCCAGTTGGCTGCCGAGGCTCCCGCCTCTCTCCTTCCAAGCATCCCCCAGCTCAAGCAACGCTCTTGGCGACGAACTAACTGCACAGTATCTTTAAAAACCGAGCTTTGCAATGCAGAATCTTCCCCCTCGCATCATCATCCAGATGGCTTGGCAAAGGCGCACAGGCACACACCTTAAAGGGCGCTTCCTCTGAGCGGGCGGGGGTCGAGGGGAGGCGGTCTTTCTAGATACAGAGCCCCAGTGATTTTGTGGACGTAGCTTTTCCCGTTCTTGTGGGGTTTTCCCCTTACTTGGTTTGTGTATTGAATCAGCGGGTGCTATGATAAACACGCATGTGTAAGTTTTTACTCAACACTAACTTTGCAAAAGATTCAAAGGAAAAAAATGATAAATTTATGTAGACAGGTGGATAGACGGCTATGTACAAGCACACAGCCAAGGTAGTGACTGCGTGCAGTTAAGCGGGTGACCAAAACTTTTACTTTCAACTTCTCTCTGCGTCTTCATTTGGTTTCTGATACATATGTTTTCTGCAGTAACCAATAAAAACGATGATTTGGGGAACATTATAATTGGTAGAAAAAGGCAGAGTTAATGCAAAAAAGTATTGAGCCCTTAACTTTAGAGAAGCTAGTAAACAGAACAGAGCCGGAGAAAAATGTGTGAAAAACTAGTTTCTAAGCATCCTTAACAAATGGAAAAGTAATACAAGAATTCTTGGGTGTTGAGCAAAGCCAGTCCCAGGCAAGAGTATAACAGGGTAGATACTTTGCCTCTGCTTATGTATTCTGAGGAATAACACCGTCAAAAACCCACATAAGGGATGGTTATGTCGTTGAACTCCCACATAATCGACTACAGTTCAAGTCCCAGGACTGGCGACTTGAAACTCACGTGAAGCGTGTGTGTGTGTGTGTGTGCACGCACACGTGCGTGCATGACCAAAATCCCAAGAGGAGAATGGAGGAGAAGGGATTGCATCATAGCCATTTCCCACGGAGGTGATCTCTCCCTTTCTGTCTCTCTGTCTCTGTCTCTCTGGCAAGCACATGCACCCTACAGCAAAAACAAAACAAAACAGAACAACCACCACAACAAAAAGAACTCTCTACAACCCCCCAAAAAAAAAAAACACCCTTTAAAAAAAAAAAAAAAAAAAGTAACATAAAAGTTCCCACTAGGCTGGGCAGTGTTGCCTTGAAAAGGTGATGACAGTTTGTGTAAACAGTGATAAAAAAGTAACATTTATCTATGCTGAAATCCGATACTTAGTGGAAGCTTCTCTTTTGTGATAATCAATCACTTATTTCAGAAGTATGCCCATCCAACATCATTTGTTTAATGCTGATTTTAAAAATGAGGTGCCTTGGGCCAGCTATGGAGTAGTGATTAAGTAATGATTGAGGGACTGGATTCCATATGGCCAACTGCATAGTTCAAATCCTGGACTTGGCAGCTTAAAAAACATGCAAGTGTGTATGGATGCCCAAGGTCCCCAGAGGATATTGGAGAAGAGATTACACCCCTCAGGGGAGGGGTGCTTTCTCTCTCTCTCTCTCTCTCCCTCTCTCTCTCTCTTTCTCTGTCTCTTTCCAGTGAGCACATGTGCCCTATAGCAAATTAAAATAAATAAATAAATAAAAAGTGCCCTAGGACTATTTTATATGAAGATTCCCACTCTTTAAGAATGTAATGTACCACCCTACTCAGAGCATTCAGAGAGGACTGCTGCTTTAGAAACCATTGCATTCTCATGCTACCTGGTGTATACTCATTGGTATATGGGAACATGTGGCTTTTTTATTTTTAAGAGAGATTTTTGCTATAGGGCACATGTGTTTGCTGGAGACACACACACACACACAGAAACAGAAAACACCCCCACAGGGGATGGCCATGCAGCAACCCCTTCTCCTCCATTCTCCTCTTGGAATTTTGGGCACACACACACACATGCCGGGCGTGAGTTTCAAGCCTCCAGGTCCTAGACTTGAACTGTGGTTGGCCACATAGAAACCCAGCACTTTAACCACTATGCCACCTGCTGGCCCAGGAACATTAAAAGACAAAACACATTCACACACTTTTGCCATATATTTTATAAGGTTAATCAACTTGAACAGAGAAAATAAGCCATATGTAAAGTATATTTAAAGGGTAAAAGATCTTTTAATCATACACAGAAAGAACAAAAATACTTTTATTATTAAGTTGAATTTTTAGACTTCACATATCTGAGAATTAGCCCAGAGGTATGTTACCATGCAGCATTGCAAATGAATGCAAAAAAAAAAAAAAAAAAAGATATATCAGCTAATGACCTTTCAAAAACTCATCCTCATCTTTATGGCTCCCTTATGAGGTACTGAGGAAGTTAAAGACCCCATGATACTTTTCCCCTACTTTCCCTAGCATAAAAAAAGAAACCAATATTAAACTGAGTTAGGCAAAGTTTTTTACCATTAAATAATTAAAGTTGTTGCCAGGAAAAACACACTTAGTCCTAAAATGTGAGAAATGGAATGAAACTACAAAGTAATCTATTAAGCAGGGTTCTCATTTAACCCACAAGGAAATTTCACAAGGCCAGTTAATAGTCAAGTGCTATTTAGGGTTAGTCTGCCAAGAAGGTGTGTGCTAAGACCACAAACAGCTTTCTTTGCCCAGTATCCCTTTCCTTTCCTTTCCTTTCCTTTCCTTTCCTTTCCTTTCCTTTCCTTTTCCTTTTCTTTTCTTTTCTTTCCTAGAGGCTTTTTTTTTTTTCTATAGGGCATGTGAGCCCACCAGAAAGAGAAAAAGCTAGAAATCACCCCCCAGGGGGCATGGCCACACCACCATCCCTTCTCCTCCATTCTCTTGGGATCTTGGGCTCACACTCACATGTACCTGGCTTGAGCATAAGCCACCATGTCCGGGACTTGAACCATGGTCGACTACGTGGGAGTCCAGCGACATAGCCATTGTGCTAACTGCCGGTGCCTTGCCCAGTATTCCATCTACTATACAATTACAGTATGCTGGTGCACTCTTGGATAATTTATGGACTTTATAAACCACAGTGATTCACTCAGTGAACATTTGCATACCTACTATATCTTGGACTTTGGGATAAGCACAGGCAAAAAATTATTCCT